AAGTGCCATGAAGGGGGTTACCACTCTAGAGGTTCACCACCGCCGCCTGATCGGAGACTGCAGAGGTTCGGGACTTATCTGGGGGTCTCTGGCAGGCCGGGCCCAGGGAGGTCCAGGTGAGCGACGCAAGAAAAAAACGGGGTCGCCTTCACCGACATTCGCGCGTAAGTTGCCCGCGCGAAGTCCCAGCTGAACGTCCTCGCTTTGAATTTGACGTGCCGCGGTGGCGGCCCGCGTAAGCCAAGGCGCAAGGGCCTTTTGCCATCTCGCGTAAGACCTTTTTTTTTTCGTCGCCCCGGTGGGCACGTTGTTGGGTGACGCTTCCTCAGGGAAAAGTCTTTCGTCCACGGTCCATCTTTGATGGCCAGAGGCCCCGGAACGCCTCCCAGAGGCCGAAATTGACTAGGAAACATGCTGGGATTGAGATCGTCGTGCCGTCGAAGAGTTGGGGAGGAGGTGGCGAGCCCTCCCCTGTGGTGGCCGCTTTCTCTCGGCGGCGAGCCCGGGGTGGAAGCGAGAAGGGGCGGCGGGCCTACGTCCCTGGGCCTTCCGAAAAGTGCTCAAAGCCCTCCCCGGAGGCACAGAAACCTTTCAGAAGGTTGGAGGCATTCTGAGACGCCCCGCCGCCTCCTGGGAGGGCCTCCTTCTTCTCACTTTCCCCCCTCGCTCGCCACGGACTTTTTGGGCATCTCCTGGCCAGCTGGCACGCCTCGGGCCGGAGGGGGGGGGGGGGGGGGCCAGGACCAGGAGGAACCGTTGCAGAGCGCTCTCGAGAGCCGGGCGGGTGGTCCTGCGGGGGGGTGGCCCAGAGGGGGCGGAGGGAGCACAGGGCCCCAAGAGGTGCCCAGCTCAGGGCTCCTCTTCGGGGCCAGCAGGCGCCCCCCCCAAAAAAGGGAGCCCCAGGGCGCTTTCGGGGTCCGCTTGTCTCCCCCCCGTGTGGGTCACCCCCCCCCCAGTAGTGGAGGATAGCGATGAATTAACGACCGGGAACGACCGGGGGTCGTGTTCACGCGGCGGCGCCCGGGATGACGATTAGAAAAAACCGGCCGCGGGCTGGAACTCTACTCTCTTTAATCGTTCTCCTCCAGTCAGAAAATTATGCAGAAACAGCAGATTTTTGTTTAAACATCGTTCTCTCTCATTTTTTTTATGAATCGTCACCCCCCCAGTCTGCCACCCGCCCAGGAGAGGCCGCGGCGCCCCATACATCCTCCCGCTGGCATCTCGAGATCCCCGTCGTGTTCCGACCCAGTGTTGTCCCCATCCTGGTTTCGCCTGCACGCCCATGCATGCCCTGATCTTGCCAGTGCGGGGCCTTTGAGAAGTCCCGGCCCTCTGCCCAGGGCCCCGTTGTTCATCCAGAGTAGTAGTAGTAGTAGTAGTAGTAGTAGTAGTAGTAGTAGTAGTAGTAGTAGTAGTAGTAATAGTAGTAGTAGTAGTAGTAGTAGTAGTAGTAGTAGTAGTAGTAGTAGTAGTAGTAGTAGTAGTAGTAGTAGTAGTAGTAGTAGTAGTAGTCTGGGTAGTAGTACTTGTTGTTGTTGTTGTTGTTGTTGTTGTTGTTGTTGTTGTTGTTGTTGTTGTTGTTGTTGTTGTTGTTGTTGTTTTGGTTGTTGTTGTTGTACTTGTTGTTGTTGTTGTTGTTGTTGTTGTTGTTGTTGATGTTGTGTTTGTTGTTGTTGTTGCTGTTGTTGCTGTTGTTGTTGTTGTTGTTGTTGTTGTTGTTGTCGTTGTCGTTGTCGCTGTCGTTGTCGTTGTTGTTGTGCCATCTCGAGAGCAGCATCGCCCAAGACTCATAGCCTGGCTCTGCATCCCGACGCCAGCATGTCTGGGTGGCATCGGCCGAGGCGAGCTCGACAGACCACGACCAGAGCCTCTCACCCTCATGCTCTGCGGTATCCCTATCCGGCCGCATCGCTCTGTGCTGGCCTCGGCCGGGCGTGGACCGACGAGGCTCCCAGCTCGGCCAATGCAGCCATGCGGCTTTTCGGAGGGCTCCCCGAGCCCGACTCCGCCAATACAATATGCAAGGCCACCTCCAGGGCCGCGAGCGGCTCCCAAACCCGGCGTGGCCCAGCCCCGTCTCGGCAGGCTCTGGCAGGAGCGGGCGTTCCGGCCGCGCCCCGTTGGCGCCAAGCCCCGTCGCGCGCGCGCCCCGACCTGCGGCCCGCAGCAACGCAACCGCGCCCGTCGTGAACAACTCGCGACGCCCAGATCTCAGGCTCCGCCTTGGCGCCACGCGCCGGCGGGTCAGGCCGCCCCCCTCCTCGCTGGGGCCTCGCTTGGTAGTCGGGTTCGCCGGAGCGTGCGGGTTCGCTACCCCGACCGGTCGGCACTGCGTCGCCGATTCCGGGTCGTCGTTTCCCCCTTCTGAGCCGGTCACTTTCTGGCGTTGCCCCGCACCGGCGCCGCCCAAACACACTGATGCTGTGTATGCGTCGGCCCCGCAAGGGCGACGCGCACGCCAGGGAACCTTCTGGTATCAGCTCCGTAGCGGGCGATTTCTGGCCTTACCGCTCGGGAACCGATATGCTGGAGGATCTGTGTGTCTCAATGCTCGCGTCGGACGTGCGTCGTGCGCCTCCAACATCAGCACAGTGCTCGCATGTCCTTCTGCGTCCCACCTCGGTCTGGCAGGTGCTCACCCACGCTGTGCCATGACTGAAGGCGCCACCGTGCCACCCGTCTCGGGGAGGCCTTCCGGGCCGAATGGAGCGTGCTCGCTCGCCCGCCAGGGGGGGCCCCCGTGGAGCAGAGCGCTACCCCGGCCCCCCCCCGCCCCCCGCCGACCTCCGTCGTCACCGCCGTCGTCGTCGTCCTCGTCGTCGCAACATCTGTCCTCGTCGTCCTCGCCCTCGCCCTCGTCCTCGGTCGGCGGCGTCCTCGTCGTCCTCGTCGTCCTCGTCGTCCTCGCCCCCGCCCTCCTGAATTTGCCCCTCGCCCTGGGCCTCGCCCGGCCAGCCGCCGCCCTCCGCGGCCCGCGGCAGGCCGCCCTCCTCCTCGCGGGCGCCGCGCTCGGCGGCGGCCTCGGCGCGGCGCCCCGCGCGCCCGCCGCCGGCGGCGGCGCGCGCGGGCGGCGCTCGGAGGAGGCCGCCGCTGGCTCGCCGACGAGGACGACGACGACGACGACGACGACGTCGACGAGGACGACCACCACGACGACGACGACGACGAGGAGGAGGAGGAGGATGAGGACGACGACGACGACGACGACGACGACGACGACGACCCTTTGCCGGAGTGGCAGTCGGACCGAGGCAGAAAGATCGAGGGCCATTCGGAGAGGCTCACCTGGTGTTCTCGGGGCTTGTTGGATGCTCTTGTGCATCCTGGGGGAGGGTACCCTCGGATGCTTTGCAGCTTGGGCCAGCGGGGGTCTCATGTTCTCGAGGCAGGTCCTTCTGTCCCAGGTCTGACCGTAATGGTGACACTTCGCCAGAGTTGCATGTGTCAGCCTCGCGCAGAGGTGGGGCGGGGGGAGGGAGGAAGGGCTTCTCAGAAGCACTCCTGCTTCTTGGCAGGCGCGGGTTTAATCTGTAGATGTGGGGCCGGCACCTAAGCCTCCTTCTGAGAAGCCCTTCCCCCTCCCTCCACCCCCTCGTGCGTGGTGGACGGATCAAGGAGGCGGACGAGGAGGAGGGGAGGAGGAGGAGGCGGAGGAGGAGGAGGAGAAGGAAGGGGGGAGGAGGGAGAGTAGTAATAGGAGGTAGGAGGAAGCGGAGGAGGAGGAGGAGGAGGAGGAGGAGGAGGAGGAGGAGGAGGTGAACGAGGCGGAGGAGGGGAGAGGAGGAACGAAAAGCAGGATGAGGATGATAATGAGGATGAGTATGACGATGAGGATGAGGACAGTTAAATAATGATGGTGATGATGATGATCATGATGATGATGCTGATGATGACGACGATGATGATGCTGCTCATGATGATACTGATAATGTTGACGATGTTGGTGATGATTATGCTGATGATGTCGATGATGGTGATGATGACGATGTTGCTGCTGATGATGGTGATGGCGACGATGCTGCTGCTGTTGCAGATGATGATGCTGATGATGACGATGGTGGTGGTAATGCTGATGCTGATGATGATGATGATGCTGTTGATGATGATGGTGCTGATGCTGATGGTGATGTTGTTGATGCTGATGATGACGATGACGATGGTACAGATGCTGCTGATGATGGTGCTGGCAACGATGCTGCTGCTGCAGATGAGGATGATGCTATGCTACTGGTGACGCTGGTGATTGGAATGATGATGCAGATGATGATGATGCTGATGATGATGATGTTAATGATGATGGTGCTGATGGTGATGAGCTGCTGATGATGGTCATGGTGATAGTGATGGTGATGGTGATGGTGGTGGTGATGATGCTGTTGAGGATGCTGCTGCTGATGTTGATAAGGGTGATGATGATGATGATGATGATGATGATGATGACGATGATGATGATGATGATGATGATGATGATGATGATGATGATGATGATGATGATGATGGTGCTGACGATGATGAAGATTAGGAGGAGGAGGGGGAAGAGGAGGAGTAGGCGGAGGAGGAGGAGGAGGAATGACGCGGGTTTAACCTGTCGCGGCGAAACGAACCGAATGAACAAGGACGAGGAGGAGGAGTAGGAAGAGGAGGAGAGGATGAGGAGGAGGAAGGAGGATGGTAGGAGGAGAGAGGGCGGTTGACAATCCCCCCTCCTCCTCCCTCCTCCTCCTCCTCCTCCTCCTCCTCCTCCTCCTCCCCTCTTTCTCCTTCTCCCCCTCTCATCCGTCTCCTCTCCTCCTCTTCCTCCTCCTCCTCCTCCTCCTCCTCCTCCTCCTCTCATCCTCCATCTCACATCCTCCTTCCTCCGGCCTCCGTCCCCCTCCCCATCCTCTCTTCTCCGATGGTCGTCCACTCCTCCCTTCTCATTTCTCCCTTCTTGCTCCCATCCCCTCCTCCAGGAGAAGGAAGAGGATCCTGCCCGCCTCTGCTGCACCAGCGCCGGCAGGCCTCCATGGTGGCCACGCAGCTGGAGCTGCAGGTCAAGGTGGGCACGGCCACGTCGGTCGCCGCTGCTGCTGCCGCCGCCGAATACCGCCGTCGCCATCCTCGTCTGCGTCCTCCTCCTCATTGTCTTCGTATTCCTCATCCTCGTCTTCATCCTTCTCCTCCCCCTCCTCCACTTCCCTCCGCCTCCTCCTCCTCCTGCTCTTCCTTCTCCTCCTCTCCTCCTCCTCTCCTCCTCTCCTCCTCTCCTCCTCCTCTCCTCCTCCTCCCCTCCCATTTCCTCCCCTTCTCTCCCTCTCCCGCCCCCCTCCTCCCTCCTTGCTCCTCGCAGCGCTGCGGCTCCAGACGGCTCCAGACCAGCCCTCCCCCTGCGCTGCCCGCCCTCCCTCCCCTCCGCTCCCTGCTCCCCCCCCCGCCTCCCCTCCTCCCGCCTCCCCTCCTCCCGCCCCCCCCCTCCTCCCCTCCTCCCCCCCTCTCCCCCCCCCCCCCCCCCCCCCCCCTCCCCTCCCCCCCCCCGCCCCGCCCCTCCCCCCCCCCCCCCCCCCTCCCCCGCCCCCGCGGCGGGGGCGGGCCCCTGGGTGCCCTCTGGGGGGCCTGGCACGGGCCCTGCTCCGCGTGCCGGCGGTGGCGATCAGCGTCGCCCAGACATGGCGACGCCCCGATTTGTTGTAAGTCGGGCGTGTCCATGTTTGGTATGTTTAGGTTATGTTTCAAGGGCGCCCTCGAGGGCGCGAAGTTATGCGCGCTCCGCGGCTCGGCTCCGACTCCTCGTCCTCCTCTTCTCCCCCGGGAGGCGGCGCGGGAGCGCGAAGTTCTTCGCACTTCGCGCTTCGCGCAGCGCGAAGCGCGAAGTTGTGAGCCCTTGTTTTTATTTTACCAAAATCCGCCGGTAGGAGGGCATCCCCGACCTCATGTTTATTCCAAGACGGGGTCCCCAGAGGTCCCTACCCTCTCCCCGGGGCCGCCTTTGCATCCCGATGTCGCTCTTGGAGGGAGGGGACGGGGAGGGGAGGGAGGGGAGGGGAGGGGGAGGGAGGGGAGGGAAGGGGAGGAGGAGGAGGAGGGAGGGAGGGAGGGGGAGGAGGGGAGGGAGGGGAGGGAGCGGGAGGGCGCGAGGGAGGAGGGAGGAGGGGATAGGAGGGAGGAGGGGGGAGGTGAGGAGGGAGGAGGGCAGGAGTGAGAGAGGGACGGAGGGAGGAGGAGGGAGGGAGGGGGAGGGGGAGGGAGGAGGGGGGAGGGGGAGGAGGGAGGAGGTGAGGAGGCGGGGAGGAGGAGGGGAGGAGGAGGAGGAGGAGGAGGGTGGAGGAGGAGGAGGGAGTGAGGAGGGAGGGGGAGGGAGGAGGGAGGCAGGGAGGGAGGAGGGTAGGAGGGGGGAGGGAGGAGGGGGAGGAGGGAGGAGGGGAGGAGGGAGGTGGGAGGAGGGAGGAGGGGAGGAGGGTAAGAGGGAGGAGGTGGAGGGTGAGGGGAGGGGAGGGAGGAGAGGAGGGAGGAGGGAGGACGGGAGGAGGGAGGAGGGAGGAGGGAGGAGGAGGGAGGGATGAGGAGGAGGAGGAGGGATGAGGGAGGAGGGAGGAGGGAGGAGGGAGGCCCTTAGGAAGGGAGGAGGGGAGGAGGGCGGAGGGAGGAGGGAGGGGGAGGAGGGAAGGTTTGGAGGAGGAGGGAGGGAGGGAGGAGGGAGGAGGAGAGGAGGAGGAGGAGGAAGACGAAGAGGAAGAAGAGGAAGAAGAGGAAGAATAACGAAGAATAATAATAATAATAAGAATAATAATAAGCATAAAACTAAGAATACTATGAATAAGAATAATAATAATAAGGAGTAATAAAAAATAAGCAACATAATAAGAATAATAATAATAAGAATATAAAACCGAAGAAGAATAATACGAACGATAAGAATAATAATAATACTACTAATAATAAGAATAAGAAGAAGCAGACGAATAAGAATAACAATAATAATACGAATACTAATAAGAAGAATAATAATACGAATACGAATAATAATAATAATAAAACTAATAATAAGAATAATAAGAATAAGAAGAATAATAAGAAGAAGGAGGAGGAGGAGGAGGAGGGGGAGGAGGACGAGGGGGCGCCCGCTTGCAGGCGGAAGCGTTCGACAGGCAGTTCGCCCAGAAATTGGACGCGTACGGGCACGGGTCAGGCCCGAACTTGGGCTGGCCTCTCCTGTTACTGCTGTTGTTGCTCCCGCCTCCCTCTTTTTTCCTTCACCCTCTTCCTCCACCTGCCTCAGGTGGTAGCTTGAAGAATGATGACGGTTGGACTTTTCTGCTGCAGCAGCCCGCTTCAAGCACCCTGCCAGCTCGCATATTCCCACATGGTTGTTATGTGACGCTGGGTTGCCTCAACGACCGTAAATTATATCCTCTCCTTCCGCCGTGTCGTCCTCCTGCGCCCCCGTCTTGCCCCCTCGTCCTTGCCGTCGCCGCCTCTCTCCTCCTCCGCGCCCTCCTCCTCGCTTCCCCTCCCTCGGCCGGGGGGCGCCCGAGTGGGCCCTCAAACCCGACGCTGGGGGGGGGCCACCGTTGGGGTCTTGCTCCTGGGTCCCGCGTCGGTCACTCCCTTGGCCGTGTCTCTCCCCCCACCCCCTTCCTCCCTCCCTGTCTCTCCCCCCCCCCTCTCCCGCCTCCCTCCCTCGTCCGTCCTCCCGAGGCATCTCCCTCCGTCCCTCCCTCCTTTCTCTCTCCCTGTCTTTTTTTTTGTTGTTTCTGTCTCTCTCTCTCTCTCTCTTTCTATATTTTTCTCTCTTTTCCTCTCTCTTTCTCTCTTTATCTCTCTCTCTCTCTCCCTCTCTCTCTCTCTCTCCCTCTCTATCTCTCTCTCTTCTTTTCTCACTTTCTCTCTTTCTTCCTTCCTCTCTCTCTGTCTCTCTTTCTCTTTCTCTCTCTCTCTCTCTCTTTTTATCTCTCTCTCTCTCTCTTTACACACACATACATATATATATATATGTATGTATGCATGCTAGGGGCCGCTCCTGTTATCTACCTTCGTTTCTGTTTTCCAACGCATGTCATTGAGATATACGAGGAGGGGGAGGGGGAGGAATAGGAGGATAGCAAGGATAAGGATATACGAACAACGAGGAGCAGGAACATAATAAGTGGCGGACGTGGAGGAACTTCAGGAAAATAGGAAACGAGCTGGAAGGATGAGGAGAAGAAGAAGGACTATGAGACAGAGGGAAAGGAAGGACGATGAGGACAGGCAGACGGAGAAGAGGAGTCGCAGTCGATGTTTTGATATCTTGTCGACGCCCTGGTGTCAAGGTTTGGTTCCTTGCGGCGTTTCTTGTAGCCGAGCCTCTGCTGCAACCGTTTCGTCAGTGATGTAGTATGTGAGCGTTGCTTTCTAGGGTGTTAAGTGTCTTTCATTTGGCGATATTCTCATCTCTGGGACCGCCCATTGGATGATGACGTGGAGAAGGAGCAAAGAGGAGGAAGAGGAGGAGGAGGAGGAGGAGGAACAATATGTATAGCAGACCGATGGCGATGAGGATGACGACTATGATGGTCATTCGGATGCGGGTGAAAAAGAAGGGGAGGATGTAAAGAGGAGGAGGCGGAGGAGGATGAGGATGAGGACAATGATGGGGAGAATTAGAATCAAGCCAAAAGAATATGAGGATTTGGGTGAGTAGAATAAGAGGAATATGAGGGTGAGGAGGGCACGAATGATGAGATGGATGGCTAGATGAGGGGGGTGATGAGGAGGATGCTGAGGAACTGGCAAGCAATGAACATCTGGATTGGGAGAGGGTCGGGAAAGTCACGGGGGGAAGAACGATCGACATGATAATGAGGATGGCTTGGCTCAGACACTCTTGATGTATGCCTGGCGATGTTGATCCACGGCCCAAGTATTTTTCTGGCCTTTCATACCTAGCCGTGCTGGCTTCACATTCGTTTGTTTTGTTGGCCTTGTTGGCTGCTTGGTGCAGCGATGCCTGCGCCTTCGAGTAAAGCTTGGAGGAGTATGAGGGGTAACTGCCAAGACCGCAAACGACTGGCGTCGACCGGCCACTGGCTCAAGAAACCGTGGGTCAGAAAGCGCCTCAAGCAAGCAGCGCAGGAACAGGTCAACAAGACCCGTGGCACCAGGCAGTGATTGAAGCAGAGGAAGGCGGGACTTCACAGCGAGTTGAAGGCCAAGGAAAAGGAGGCCTTCCAACTGCGCCGCGACGTGTTCGTGCAGACGGCTGCTGCGGATCTTAATGCGCACCACCACCATCCCAGCCATGCAGCATGCATTTCGTCATGTAAGCTGCCAAACATAACATTACAAAAAACAAAAAAAACGAGTTGAACACAACGGCGGTGCCACCCCGCCACCACCGTCACCTTCGCATGTCGGTGACGTAACAATAAGAACAACACAACCGCACAAAACGGCAGCGCAACAGCAACCGCTGAAACCTTTGGGTTCCCCGCAAAACTTGGCCGACAACGCGCGCAAGGCCTTCGACGAGCTGGAGAAAAAAAAGCCACCTGCACAGCCTGCTGGGCGAGGCAGACGCCGACCGCAACGCGCTGAAAAAGACAGCGCGCACTGCTCGGGCGCAGGGGAGGAAGGAGGGCGAGGCAACCGCTGGGGGGGAGGCGGGCAAGGCGTACGACCGCTTGCAGACAGCCTTGAAGAAGGCCCAGGCTTGCGAGGGTGACACAAAGCCTTCTCCTTCTCTGCTACCGAACTAAACTTGACGCTCGCTTCGGCAAGCGCCACGACGAAACCCGACTTTTTCGTGCTGAACCACCTTTGAGAGAAACCAGGCGACGCGTTTCGGGCGTGGCTGTGAGGCCTCTGCGCTCGCATTGCGACAGCTTGTAGAGGCCTCGCGGAGAGCTGCTTGGCGCTCGCCAGCCAGGCCGCAGACGAGTTTGAAAACAGACGTAACATCCTTGAGTGCGGGATCGAGGTCCACAGGAATCGTGCACCTGTTTGTGTTCTGCCAACGTTTGATGTTCTCGAGTCGAACCAGGTAAGGTGATTTCAATTATCCACTAAGTTCTGGCCAGATTGCTGGGCGGAGAAAAACAGCATTCGCCTATGCGAGTGCGATCGCTGCTCGGCGGCGGGGAAGAAGGACAGAACGCTCGCTCGCAAGGGGTTTCCCGACGTGGGTCCGTGGTGCCATGCGGATTTTCCCATTGGGGTTTTCGGTTGGGCTCCTTGCGAAGCGTGAAGCGTGTGTGGGGTGTGCTGAAACGGGTTTGATCGCGCTGCGCACCCTTCCACATATACGTTTTCTTAGCTTTTTTTTTTTTTTTTTTTTTTTTGGGGGGGGGGGCTACTATATATATATTATGTATATATTAATATATATATATATATATATATATATTCTCGTTTTTATAAAAAAGAGGTCGGGGAACATTCGTGATCCTTTTGTGGGCCTGTGCAAGACGATTCCTATCAAACGACTTCAATTGGAATCCCCTTGGAAGCATTTCGAAAAGGTTCCTTTCGTTTGGCGCTGCAAAGGGTTTGTTGTTGTATCCCAGGCAATAGGAATCCCTGTGTACACCGGCACAACAAAGAATCCGATTGAAAGCCGTCCAGTAGGATTTCTTTTGGAGGCAGCATAAAAGGAATCCTTTTGTAGGGCATTACCGAGCGATTCTTATTGTATCCCAGGCAGTAAGAATCAAATTATCGGCGAACCTATCGGAGCCGCCGCCGACGGGAGAAGACAAACCATACAAAAAGAACAAAACAGCTGATGGAGCAAAAATGATGTGTTTTTCATTGTAATTCCCAACCCTCCTTGGTTGGGTATTCGTTTTGAATAGAGCAGTGTGGTCGCGTCCCTTCTCCCTTCTCCCGCCTCCCGCCTCCCGCCTCTTCTTGTCTTGCCTGCGGGGGGCTGCGATATGTGAAACTGTCGTCACTTTCGAGGCCTGCTGGGGGGTCCGGCATAGAGGGTAACCGCGGCAGATTCAAATTAGACCTCGCCATCCCTGGGGGGCTGCGATCTGTGAAATTGTCGCCACTTTCGAGGCCTGCTGGGGGGTCCTGCATAGAGGGTAACCGCGGCAGATTCAAATTAGACCTCGCCATCCCTGGGGGGCTGCGATCTGTGAAACTGTCGCCACTTTCGAGGCCTGCTGGGGGGTCCTGCATAGAGGGTAACCGCGGCAGATTCAAATTAGACCTCGCCATCCCTGGGGGGCTGCGATCTGTGAAACTGTCGCCACTTTCGAGGCCTGCTGGGGGGTCCTGCATAGAGGGTAACCGCGGCAGATTCAAATTAGACCTCGCCATCCCTGGGGGGCTGCGATCTGCGAAACTGTCGCCATTTTCGAGGCCTGCTGGGGGGCCCAGCACAGTGAGGGCCACGCGCGGATTCAAATTAGACCTCGCCATCCCTGGGGGGCTGCGATCTGCGAAACTGTCGCCATTTTCGAGGCCTGCTGGGGGGCCCAGCACAGTGAGGGCCACGCGCGATTCAAATTAGACCTCGCCATCCCTGGGGGGCTGCGATCTGCGAAACTGTCGCCATTTTCGAGGCCTGCTGGGGGGCCCAGCACAGTGAGGGCCACGCGCGGATTCAAATTAGACCTCGCCATCCCTGGGGGGCTGCGATCTGCGAAACTGTCGCCATTTTCGAGGCCTGCTGGGGGGCCCAGCACAGTGAGGGGGGCAGCACAGTGAGGGCCACGCGCGGATTCAAATTAGACCTCGCCATCCCTGGGGGGCTGCGATCTGCGAAACTGTCGCCATTTTCGAGGCCTGCTGGGGGGCCCAGCACAGTGAGGGCCACGCGCGGATTCAAATTAGACCTCGCCATCCCTGGGGGGCTGCGATCTGCGAAACTGTCGCCATTTTCGAGGCCTGCTGGGGGGCCCAGCACAGTGAGGGCCACGCGCGGATTCAAATTAGACCTCGCCATCCCTGGGGGGCTGCGATCTGTGAAACTGTCGCCATTTTCGAGGCCTGCTGGGGGGCCAGCACAGTGAGGGCCACGGGCAGATTCAAATGAGACCTCGCCATCCCTGCGGGGCTGCGATCTGCGAACCTGTCGCCACTTTCGAGGCCTGCTGTGATCCCCGTTTTCGAAGTGGCTAGGAGTGCTCAGGAATTGTAAATCATCAGCTTTATCAAGCCCTTTTCCTGTAGCCAGTGTCCTGCGAGTCTCCCGAATTCTGTCTGCAGACATATGTAACCCTCGCTCCGTCATCGCCCCCTTATAAAGTATCCTAAACTATTTGCGCCCCGCTTTTGCGCAGGGGTTGGGTACGTCGCCAGGGTATTGCTTTTTCTCTGTTGAAAACCAAACCAAGACAAAACACACAAGTCGGGACCGAGGAAACCGTGTGTTTTCACAGTGTTCGCGCCTCTTCAAATTGATTTCTATTGGCCGGCGCGCAATAGAATACTTGGGTGAGCCTGTACAAAAGGATTTCCATTGGACGGCCTTCAATTGGAATCCTCTTGGAAGCCTTTACAACGGATTCCTTATGTTTGGCGCTACAAGAGGATTCGTTTTGTATCTCAGACAAAAAGGATCTTTTTGTAAATCGGTACAAACGGAATCCTATGGAAAGCCATCCAATAGGATTGTTTTTGGAGGCAGCATAAGAGCAATCTTTTTGTAGGGCGTGACAGAAGGATTCTTATTGTATCCCAGGCAATAGGAATTCAATTATCGGCAAACCTGTCGGAACCGCCGCCGGGGGCAAAAATGCGGTGCTTTTAATTGTAAAGCTGTTTTTTTTCAATTGAAAACCAACAAAGACAAAACAAACACAAGCTGGAACCCTGGAGCCCCTGTGTTTTCACAGTGTTTGCGCCTCCTCAAATTGATTTCAATGGTCGGCGCACAATGCGAACCCCTGTGTGGGCCTGGACAAAAGGAACCCTTTGTAGCGCCAAGCAAAAGGACTCCTTTCGAACAAAGGCTTTTAAACATGATTTTTATTCAAGGCCGCCCAATAGAAACCTTGTTGTACAGGCTCACCCAAGGATTCCTATTGTGCGCTGACCAATAGAAATCAATTGGAGGAGGCGCAAACTTTGTGAAAACACAAGGTTTCCTTGGTTCCAGCTTGTGTTTTTTGTGTTTGTTTGGTTTTCAATTGAAAAAACAGCTTTACAACGAAAAACGCAACATTCTTGCTCCCTCAGATTGTTTTTTTGTCTTCTCCCGTCGGTGGCGCTTCCAACAGATTCGCCGATAATTGCATTCCTATTGCCTGGGATACAATAGGGATCCTTTTGTCATGCCCTACCAAAGGATCCCTTTTAGGTTGCTCCCAAAAGGAATCCTATCTGATGGCTTCCAATAGGAATCCCTATGTGCCGGTTTCAAAAAGGATTCCTATTGCTTGGGATACAATAATAAACCCTTTGTAGCGCCAAACGAAAGGAATCCTTTTGAAAGGCTTTCACAAGGATTCTTATTGACGCCGTTTAACAGGAATCTTTGTGCACAGGTTCACACAAGGATTCCTACTGTGCGCCGACCAATAGAAATCAATATGATGAGGCGCAGGTTCCAGCTTGTTTTTCCCAGTTAAGAAAATACTATTTAAAAAACAGCATTGTTGCTCCCCCATATTTTTTTTGTGTCTTGTTTGTCTTTTTCCCGTCGGCGGCGGTCCCGAAAGGTTTGCCGATAAGTGGATTCCAATTGCGTGGGATACACGAGGAATCTTTTTGTAATGCCCTACAGAAGGATTTCTTTTTATGCTGCCTCCAAGAAGGAATCCTGTTGGAAAGAGTTCGATAATAATCCTTTTGTACATGTTTACGGAAGGATTTCCTTTGCGTGGGATACAATAGAAATTCGGTTGTAATGCCCTATTGTCTCCAAAAGGAATGCTATCGGTTGCCTTTCAATTGGAACCGTCTGCGCGGAGGCATATGAGTTGATTCTTTGCGTGTTGTATAGAATGAAACCCTTTCTCCAACCATTCCGAACGCCAGGAAAAGAGAAAGGTATATCACAGGAGCGGCCCTTACCATATATGTGTATATATCTACACATACAAGACTGCATTGGCGCTGCGCGCCGTGCACTTTGGTCCTTCAGATTTTCGCACGTTAGCGGGGTGCGTGCGTGCGTACATGCGCACACACACATGCGCCTATGGAAACATACTACATCTGTACATATACATATACTTATGTATGGGTATGTACATGTATCTGCAAATGGTCTGTATACCGATTTGTGCGCATGCACATGCGCATCTCAGGCGGTAGTGGCCTGACCAGCTGCTCCGGGCGTATCGCAACTCAAAGGTGCGAGGGTCTCAGGCGAAAGTGGCCAGACGACCATGGTCCTTCAAGTTGAGCAAGCAGGCGGGAAGACAGATATTTACATAGTTAAAGAAAGCCGTCACGCCTTGTTGCCGTTTTCGTGGTTGTCGATATGACAGTGTCTTCCATTCCCTATATTTTTCTTCCCTCATCCTTTATTTCCCGCTCCTTCGCCGCCAACCCGAGCCGAGCCGAGCTGAACCGGCGGGCCGGCCGAGCCGGCGGGCCGGCCGAGACAGGGGCGACGAGGACGACGACGACGACGTCCACGATGACGACGACGATGAGGAGGAACAGGAGGAGGAGGAGCAAAAGAAACGAAACATACGAGGAGGCTGAGAGGAGGAGGAGGAGGAGGAGGAGGAGGAGGAGGAGGAGGAGGAGGAGGAGCAGATAATCTACAGAGAAAAAGGAGGAACCGGAGGATAACGGGAAAGAGAAGGAGGGAGACGGGGAGAAGAAGGATGAAGGAAAAGATGTTTTGGAAGGCTTCTGGGGGCGCCATTGAAGCTCAGTGTTGGGAGCCCTGGTGTTATGTAGCGTTTTGGGGCCTCTTGGGGGGCTTCTTGGGGCCCTTGTGGATCCCTTTGAGGGTTCGGTTGGGGTTGCCTTGGAGGCCTTTGGCCGTCGTGGGGCTCTCTTGGCGGCGTCTTGGGGCGTTCTTGGGAGCCTCTATGGGCGCTCTTTGGGCTCTCGTGGGCTTGTCTTGGAGCCCTCTTCGGCTGTCTTGGGGCTCTCTTGGATCGGTATCGGGCTCTTTGGGGGGCCTCTTGGGCTATCTCGGGGCGATCTTTGGAGCCTCTTAGGTCTGTTCGGGCTCATCAGTGACATGTCCCTCTTGGGGCCCTCTTGGGAAGCCTATTGGAGGCCTCTTGGGGCGTCTCGGGGCCCCCTTGGACGGTCTTGGGCGGTCTTGGGGTCTTCCGGAGCGCTCTTGTGCTGTCTTGGAGCGCTCGTGTGCCCCTATTGGAAGTATCTCGGGCCGTCTGGGGCGCCTCTGGGACCGCCCGAAAGTTTCGGGGGAGGCCGAAACTCGTTGGGGGGGGGGGATCCGTCCGGGGTCCGTCCGGGGTCCCCGGCCCTATAAAAGTATATATCTATATAGGAATACGTGCGCCTTTATACATACATACATACATACATACATACATACATACATACATACATACATACGTACATACATACATACGCATATATATATATATATATATATATATATATATATATATGGGTATACATCTGTATATATGTATACATGTATATACGGATATAACTATCTCTTTGTCTCTCTCCTTCTCTTTTCTCCCTCTGTGTCTTTCTCTTTCCCCCTCCTTTCGCGAAGTGCGGCGCCCGGAAAACAGTGGAACGTCGCGGCAAAAGACCGCCCCGAGCCCTGGGCCCCCCTCCTCCTGCGGCAGGGCCCCCCTCCCCGATCGAGCCCCCCAGTGGGCCCCTGCAGGCCCGAGCGGAGCCGGGCGTGGCCGCCCGGCCCGAGAAGCGGACGGCAGCATGCCAGGATCGGAAGGGCCCCGCCCTTTGTGTCCCTCGCAGCAGGGCGTCGGGGGCGGCAAAGAGGGTGGTGATGACTACGAGGGGGGGGGATATCATGGCGGGGGCCATGATATGTTTCCTCTGATTTCATGGCGCCCCGTCTTACTCCATGGCGTCCCTGGCCCCCCCCCCCCCGCTGGGCCGCGCACGCGCCGCCGGCCATGATTTGCACCCCCCCCTCTTGGACGCCCCCCTCTTGGCCGCTCCCGACAGCGGAGCGGAGAGAGCCCACGACCCTGGCGCGGCCGCGCAGGGCGGAGCAGACGGCAACCTGCCCGGCTCTCGGGGCCCCGCCCCCCTTGCCCTCGCAGCACATACGTGGGCAGGAGTCCACGGCCCCGGCGTGCGCAGCCGGGGCTCCCTGGAGCGTGTTTCTTTACTGCTCGGGGCAGAATGGGCATCATATCCCCCGGCCCCCCCCAAAACAAAAAATATAACGCAACGCCCCTCCCGCCCAGTGCGCTCCGGGCACTGCCCCCGTGCGCATCGGGCACGCGGCGGGGGGGAGGCGTTACATTATACCCCCCCCGGCCCCCTCCCCCCACCCCCCATAATTCCCAGTATCGCCGAAAATGAAGAAACGCGTTCCTGCCTCAGCCCCGCCCCAGAGAGCTCCGCTCCCAGCTCCCCGAGAGTGAGGCTGGAGTGCGCGGCGGTCAACGCCGTCTTCGCCCGCAGGGTGGCGGGGCAGAGCGGGGCAGAGCAGCGAGCAGGGCGGTCGAGAGCACAGCGGAGGCCCAGGCCAGGAGACGCCCCGCTTGCCTCCAGGGTGCCCTGGGCTGCTTGGGCTTCGATGGTTCCGCTCTGGGAAGGCGCGGTGGTCCCGCGCCGAAAATCGAAGGAGGTCCTGGGGCCTCGTGGTGGGGCTTCCTGTGGGCGGTTCCCTGTGGACGGTCCGCCGCCGCAGTGCAGAGCAGGCTACCCCACGGCCTCCTCTTCCCGAGCGGCCGCCCCGCGGCCACCGTGCGAGATCCGCCGGCCGGGCCCGCGGCGCCCGTGACGCGCCCGCGCGCCCAGTGCCGCAGCAGCCGCGGGGCCTCTCCGACGCCGCCGCGCCGCAGCGCAACGCCTCGGCCGCCCCCGCGCGCCAGGATGAGCCGCCCGCTGCCGGGCGGGGTGTGCAAGAGAACGGAGAGTGCTTTTGGGGACCCTCCAGGCCGTAAGGCGCGTTATGGTCCCCGTCCTGTCCCGTCGTCGTCGTCGTCGTCGTCGTCGTCGTCGTCGTCGTCGTCGTCGTCGCCGTCGTCGTCGCCCTCGTCCGTCGTTCGTCGTCCGTCGTCCGTCGTGCGTCGTCCGTCGTCCGTCGTCCGTCGTCATTCGTCCGTCGTCCGCCGTCCGCCGTCCGTCGTCACTCGTCGTAGTCGTTGTCCCCCCTCCTCCCCCCCTTATAACGTAGCCCACTCCCCCTCCCCAGAGTCCCCAGCGCTGCCGCAGTGCGCCCTGCACCAGTCTGTGGTGCCACACGGAGGGGGGGTGGGGGCGCGTTCTGTTATGCCCTCGCCCCCGCCCCCCCTCCTCCCCCATAAACGCCAGTTATTTCCGCGAATGCAACAAAACTCTTAGATCCCAGACATGTTCGCCCCTGGCTTCGGATCCGTCGTACTTTAGTCGACTTTCTGGCAGTTGTGCCCAAAATGCACCCCAGAGGATGCGAAAGAGCGGGGCGGAGACTCCTGCCTCAGATTTGAAGCCGGGCGGATATTTCCGCAACAGCATGGCGGAAACAGCGACGGCAAAGTAGGACAGACATCGTCATCAAAAGGGTTTGAAGGGTACGGCGGAATTTTCCGCTCTGTTTGCGAAATCGTTCAAGGTACGACGTATCCGAAGCCAGAGGAGTTGGTGCGAACCTTGAGGTTGAAGCTTCAAGCCTGGAGGTTTTGTTGAGGCCCTTCTCGCCCGCCACCTCTGGTGCTCTGGCGGGGCTCCTCCCCGCGGGCGGCCGGGTCCGCCTCGAAATGCTGGCCGGAATGCACATCTTGTCCGGGCCCGAGTGTATTTTTTCGGGGGAGGAGGGGCAGGAGGAGGAGGTGGAGGAGGAGGAGGAGGAGGACCAGTGTAAACCCAAGATGCATGAATGATGTTGGAGTAAGCCCTCCCTCCAAGGTCCCCTTTCATAGGCCCCTACAACGGTTCACTTCCATTGCGGGAACTGCCTCGTTTGAAGACAACCGTTTGAAGACGCTGGAGCATGCCAACACATTGATCTCAGGATTCCAACGCCACGGATCAACCTGATTGTTGCGTCGTGATGACCCTGAATCGTGCCAGAACGCCATCCCTGGGACTTTAACGCAGCGAATCACAGTAACTGTTGTGCCCGAATAGCCTTGAATCCGTTCAAGACAACATTTCTGGTACGTTGATGATGGAATTCCGTGAAACTCTTATAGTGGTTAATCAAACGAATGCGCGCCGCGCTAAGGCGAGAGCCACAGTTTGAAAAGGAACCGCACTCAATCCAGGAAGCTTTTGACTTTTTTTGAAAAACGAATGTGCGCCGCGCTCAGGCGAGAGCCACATTTTGGAAACGGGCTGCCCTCAATCCGTGAAGGCCTTACATTTCTTGAAAAACGAATGTGCGCCGCGCTATGGCAAGAGCCACATTTTGAAGACGACCCGCCCTCCATCTGTGAAGCTGCTGCCAATGTTTAAGCTTCCGAGTCATAAGTGGTGAGGAAGTCTCAGGCGAAACGCCTGGCCCGCCCTAAAAAACTTGCCTCGGGGTGCGACAGGGATAAGATCTTTATAAAGAATGGGCGAGGAGCAGAAGAAGCAGGAGGAGGAATAATATGAGCAGGAGGAGGAGCAGGAGGAGGAGGAGGAGGAGGAGGAGGAGGACGAGGAGGAGGACGAGGAGGAAGCCGCTGCCTCTCGGGGGGCTCCTCCCCGCCCAGCCCTGCCGGAAGGGGTGGGGGGATCCCAGGAGGGCGGACGGTCATACGGGGCGCCTGCCGCTTCGCGCCCTGGCGGCCGCGGAGCCCGCGGAGAGCCGAACGAGGATACGAGCAGGATCACGGTGGGCTGCCCGACGGCGTGGCGGCCCAACGGTTCCCGCTCCCGCGAGATCGCCACACTGGGGCCCCTGGCGGTCCGGCGAGCGGCCCGCCGCAGCCGCCTCCTCTCCACCAAGGCAGCGTTGCACCACCCTCCGAAGACCAGCGCCGACGACGACCCTGACGAGGAGCAAGGGCACCAGCCAGCATTTCGCAGAGGAGCTGCCGAGCCCGTGCCTGCCGCCATCGCCAGTACCATTCCCGGCATCGGCGCCATCATGCAGTTGTTGGACGACGGGCTTGCCATCGTGAGGAAGGAGATGGCGGAGGGCGTCTGCGCCATTGGCCGCTTAGGGCAGTGCCGCTCCACAGATGTACATGTTGTACCTACGGGCGCCAGACATCCTGGATGCGCCTACCTACACGGAAGCTGGAACAAGTGACTGGGGGCCAGCCCTTCCATTCTTTCCAGCCCTGGCCAGTTTCCTTTTGTTTCTCCCAGCCCTGGCGACCGCATCCCTAGTGTCTTGGGCTCGATCAACCCCCTGCCAGTGTTTCCAGCCCTGGCCACTTCCACTTTCTTTGATTTTCCAACTTCCATTTTTTCCAGCTTCCCTGTACGACCCGACGGACCGCACCCCCGACGCGGCCTGCCCGAAGGGCCACCTCGTCCACGAGACCGCGGAGGCTGCCGTTCGCGAAAGCGCTGGTCGCTGGACGCAGCAGGACCAACAGCGAGATCGCGAACATCAGGGCAGCACATGTCACAGCAGCGCAGCAAACCTTGATGTCCGCGAAGTCGCCCTGCGCAGTGAGTGGGCGCGCAGCTGCCGGAGACAGCAGTGCGACAAGAAGGGCCTCGCCAGCCAGCCCTCTCCCTGCGGGGAACGCCAGCGGCGGCCTGCTGCCAGCGGGCCAGGGCAAGCGCGCCGCCCGCGTGATAACGTCGACAGCGCAGTAGCCCCTGCTGACTGCTAGTCCTCCCGCGCAGGGGAGGGCGCTTACATACCTGAGACAGCGCGCGTGCCATCTATGGCGCAGCGGCCCCGTCTAGCTGGAACGTCGCCCTGCGCAGGGGGGGGGGCGCCCGGCCGCCTGTCGGGTGGCACCCGCGCCGCCCAGCAACTCGCCGGCCAGGAGGACATCCATGACTCTGGCGTGGGGAGCAGCAAGGGACTGCGATCATATCCGGCCTGGGATGGCTAAAGCCTGGGCCGTGGGCGGCTGGACTGGTGCCGCACCGCGCCAAACGCCACGGCGCGGGGTACGGGCGCTGGCCGCGGCCCCATTTTCGGCACCCCCGCGTGGCACCCGCCGCCGTCTCATCCCAACCTGTCCGCTGTCCGCGTGGTGGGCAACTGGAGGGGAATCGTACATTGGAGTGCAGAAGTGCTGGGCAGAGGAAACATATTCCGAGGAGTACCAGTCCGCCTCGGACACCGACGACCCCATGCTCGCGGCATTGCGTCGAAACTGACGCTGGCGCCAAACTTTCTTTTGTTTCTAGCACGGTGGTGGTGAGCGTCCAATAATTTGCATATGCCCAGGGTCCAGGGCAGACTCCAGATCTCCATGCCGGTGTCGGGGATCTTGGGCCCCTCGGAGACGGCAAACAAAAACAATCGGACGCGGCTTCAGTCGGGAGGGGAAGAAACATAGACACAAAAAATCGTCGATCCCCAGGACATGTGGAAGGGAAGACGGAACTTCAGAAAATATTGAAAATAGAAGAAATCCTGGGATTTGTGTGTATGTATGTATTGTGAAGCCCTGACGGCCGGTGCCGCCGACCCTGAAAGACATCGACGACGACCAGGAGGGGGAGGAGGAGGAGAAGAAGGAGGAGGAAGAGGAGGAGGCGGAGATAAGGAGGAGGATGATGATGAGGAGGAGGAGGAGAAGGAGGAGGAGGAAAAAGAGGAGGAAAAGGACTCCCCCTTGGGCCCCCCCCCCCCCTGGGGAGGAGGACCAGAGGAGGACCAGCGTGGGAGAGGGGATGGGAGGGGGAGGAGGACCCCCAAGGACGGATGCGTATCTGACTCCCCCCCCCTGACCCCCCCTGGGACTCCTCCCCACCTGGGGAGGGGGACCCGAGGAGGAGGAGGACCCCAGAGGCGATCCGAATCTGACCCCCCCCCCCGGGACCCCCCCCCCGCCGGGGAAGGGACAGAGGGAAGAGGCTTCCCTTTGACGTAATGAGGACGTGGATGGAATCCTCTCAAGCTGCGAATCCGTTCCCCGAGCGAGGAAGGGTGCTCTTTCTCGCTCTCTTTTTTTTTTTTCTCTCTCTGTCTCTCTCTCTCTCTCTCTCTCCCGGCGGGAGAGGAGGATGGGAAGGCGGAGGCGAGAGAAGGCTCCCCGTCGACGGGGCTGCGCAGACGTCCCACACCCGCCGGCAGGGGCGGCGGATTCTTGTGTGTCCCGGGGCCCCGCCCGTCAGAGAGCCCGAAGAGCCGCCAGGACAGTCCTATATAGAGGCCCCCGGGGCGGCCCGAGGCTGCTCCAAGGCGGCCTGGGATGCTCATACGGTCGGGGCCCTGAGGAAGGAACCCTTTTCGTTGGGGAGGGGCTCGGTGTTCCTCAGTTGTTTTGCAGTTCGCTTAGGGCTTCGATGGGACATCGAAGTTCAACTTATTGGGAAAAAGGGGCCTCGTTCCTCATGTAGGGTTCCTCGGGTCAACGCCCTGACTGTGAGGGCGGCCGGGTGTGCTCCCCAGAGCGCCCAAGAAGTTGTCCAGACCTCGAAAAACGGGGGCCAGTCGAAAATTACGGGAACATCTGTACACGTTGTGCCTTTCCAGCTTCTTTGCCTGAGGTGCGCTTCCGAGGCTCCAGGGGGGGGCCCAAGGAGGCCCTCGAGAGGCTCTGAAGACGCCTTCGAGAGACCCCAGGAAACCGCACGAGGCGCTCAAGAGGCTTCAAAGAGACTCCCAAGAGGCCCCCGAGACGCTACAAATACATCATCAAGAGACCACCAAGTGGCCTCCAAGAGTCGCACGAGGCACGAGCCCCCAAGAGGCCCCCAAGAGGCCCTAGAGGCGTCCCAGACGCCCCAAAGAGACCCCCAATATGCCCAAAGAGGTTCCCAAGACGCC